CTCTGGCCAGAGGACACTGAAATGATACAAACCACAATTTCAATGTTGCCCAGTTTTTTTCAGTAAATACCATTGGTTGAAGAACATTTTAGCATCTCTAATTTATCTTTATGGTATTATTTTGTTATTTATTATACATATGATTGCCCAAATAGATGTCTCATGTTTAAACTATTAGGGAAGGACTGACTTTTGGAATTTCCCACACAAAACGTAAGGCATTATACAGATAATTGAATAATAAATACTTTCTACCAGTAGTTTGAGATTCTAAGTTTAAGTAATACCTAAGTCAAAGATCATTTTAGCCTTGCCATAGCACAGCTGTAAGGAATCTCTTAAAACCAGAATCACAGATTTGATATAAGAAGCCCTATAGTTTTTCTATTAATACCTATTCAGACATGTTATATTCTTCCAGCTAATTTGCCATTTGCCAGCATTTGTGAATACTCACGGTTTTTGGTAGTGTTCTGTTTAACAGCACAATTTATCAGTTTAGCCCATTTTACTTTGTAAATTCACCTTTCAGTCTTCGTTTATCCACCTGTGTTTATTCAGGAGCCTTTTTGAACAGTGTACTTTTGCTGCTGTAATGTAGCTGACTTCAGGCTGTCTGACTTTGTTTTACTTGTGTGCCAAGAACTGTTACAATCTCCTTCACACTCCTGTGTACAGCATTTTGTGGCAGAAATCCTTGGGTACATTGTGGAATCTGCCATGACCCAGTGTCGCGGTTTTTTATCTCCTGTTTTTGTGTGTTTTTGCCTTATTTCTGCATTTGGCCTCAAGAGTTCTACTCGTTGCCTAGCTATGATCTCCCTGAAAGAACTGCCACAAGAAGGTACATAGCTATTGTCAGAACCACATCCACCTGTGTCGCTACAGAGATGATATAAATTAAATGCAGCAGAGGTTGCGAGCAAATATTCCAGAGCTACCACATTGCCTTTGTTGAATTCTGGCACTGCCACTTACCAGCCCTGTGGTCTAGGACAAATTCTCTAAGGACGCTGTTGTTCAGTTTCCTCATCTGTAAATGAGATGATGATAGATTTTAGGCCTAATTGAGTTACTTCATGTACAGTGTTTAGTACAGTTTTCCTGGCAACACAGTAAATGCTTGATTCATGGTAGTGAGGGAAATATGTCATCATGTCTTAGTCACAAATTCAGCAAGCAGCCTCTTCCATGACCAAGGTTGTATTTATGTTATTTCATAGTAATGTCATCAGGTTACTTTATTTTACTTGTTATATATTAGTAAACAGTTATTTTGTATATTAGGGGTTCGGAGTTCACTCATAACTTGAAATACTCAATACAATATTGCTGTTGTTTGTTGGACCGTTTTAATTTTTTGTTGTATTTGGTTGCGAGGAGTCTGAAGATTCTTGGCTCTATGAGTTACCATCGTTTCTGAAAGGATAGGAGTTCACCTTGTGAATTTTGCCATTGCTTTTTAGATACTTGGCGTATCGAAATTTTATGATTGACACATACCGCCTTAACCCCCAAGAGTATTTAACCAGCACTGCTTGTCGGAGGAACTTGACTGGAGATGTGTGTGCTGTGATGAGGTAAAATGTTTGACTTTTTCTCAGACGTTTCACTGTGGGTGGTTACTAGTGCTTTGCTGTTTAATATCTGATTGTTTAAAGTGGGTAAAATATCTAAATATTATGTATTTCATTTAGGGATTGAATATTTTAAATATTGTTTTCTTGATTTTACAGTTTACATCTTTTATTTTATAGTCAAATCATAAAATGACCAGGGATGGATAGGAGGTTCGGGTGGGGGGTGGATAAGCTCTGTTCCCTAGATTTGTCTAAACAAAGAAGCCAAAATGTGTATTTTCTTCTGTGAATTAGGTCTAAGTGTGAGTTCTTTTACTGTGTACCTAAATGAGCATTTGTTCTCTTATTTCTGTGTTTGAAACTGTTAGGCTTCATACTAAGTTCTAGGGTGCTATGTTATCAACATTGTTTGGGGCTTGTAGAAATTGCCCCTCATACAACAAACCAAATCTGTCTTATAGTTTCTAGTGGTTCACGGTATACAGAGAACAGTTGACTTTTTTTGTTTGTTTATTTTTAATGATATGATGATGGTTATAAAGTGATGAGTTTGATTCTCTAGATTTTAACTTTCAGAGCTTTATTCTTTAGGGTTCATGCCTTTTTAGAGCAATGGGGACTTGTTAATTACCAAGTTGATCCAGAAAGTCGACCCATGGCGATGGGACCTCCTCCTACTCCACATTTTAATGTATTAGCTGATACCCCCTCTGGGCTTGTGCCCCTGCATCTTCGGTCACCTCAGGTAAATTAATGCTGACTTTTTTTTAGGCCTGGATAGTAACAGACGACCACTTGCAGCGTTTCTATTCAGGAATAATTATTATTGCAATAGAATAGTGCTATTAAGAGTGCTGTTTCTTAGATCATTGTGTGTATGTGTTTTGGTCTCCTGTAAATGTTTGATTCCATAAGGAATATATAGTGTTTAAATTAATGCTGTCCTACCAGTCCCATGACTTTATGCCTTATTTTACCAAATTATAGTTTACTCAATTCCCTTTATTCTTCTGTCATCAAAGATACTAATAAGCGGATAAAACAAAACTTTCTTCCCTTTCCTCAATCTATGTCTTAGAAATGTGAATGAAAAACATCTTCAAACTTCTTCTAAGATTTGGCAAGTGGACATCCATACACATATTATTGAAAAGATAATTATTTTAAATAATTTATATGCAGTATTATGTTAGATTAACATGAGCCTTATCTGTGAATTTCCCTCCATTGTGAAACAGAAAATTACATTAAAGAAAACTTCTTGGCTGTCTTTTCTGTGGCTTAAAGGGGCATTAAAAATGTTTCTCATATGTTGACTTTTTGTTATTCCTAGAAGGATAGTGTAGAAGTGTGGATATTTATTTATTTTTTGTAACAAAGCCATTAAGAGTGCTTTAAGTGCCAGTATTAAACAATTTTTATAAAAACTTTTACCTTTTTTACATTGAAGGGGTTAATACAGCCATTTATCATTTGTCTGACTTACAGGTCCCTGCTGCTCAACAGATGTTAAATTTTCCTGAGAAGAACAAGGAAAAACCAATTGATTTGCAGAACTTTGGTCTCCGTACTGACATTTACTCTAAGAAAACATTAGCAAAGGTAAGGATTTTTTCCTAAATACCTGTGGGCTGCAATCCAGCATGCCCTCTTTGTCCTTCTAATACACATCATTTTCTATAAGAAATATATTTTACTACTATAATGGAAGAGACTGAGCTTTCTACTGAAACCTTATGGCGTTTTATGAAATAGTAATCCCTTATCTTACCTTTTCCTGCCATGCAGTTAGTAAATAGATATTTAAAAAATAACTGTGATTAGTATATTAAAGAAAATCGAGGGGGAAATGGAAGAATTTCAACAGAGAATTGGAATGTAAGAAAATAATGATGAATTTTCTAGGATTGAAAAATATACCTGAAATTAATTCATTGGATAGGTTTAACAGAAAGAAGACTCGACATAGCAGAAGACAGGTTAGGGAAATCAAAGACTAGTTAGTAGATATATTAAAATTGAAGCACCATGAGAATAGAAATTGGGGAGGGGGCAGGACAATGAGAAGAAAGTGCCAGAGATACACATGAGATACAGTCAAATAAATTAATATTTATCCTTAGAGACCCACAAGAAGACAAAGAACGGAACAGGAGTGATTTTCGAATGTATAATGACTAAAAATTTTCCAGAACAAATAAAAAGATATCAAGTCACAAAAATAAGAAAGGCAGAATAGATCCAAATTTGTATACAGAGAAAACCATACCTGAGGACATTGTGCTTACTCTGTTAAAAAATTAACATCTTAAAAACAGTCAAGGAGGATGGGGTCAAGGAAGGACATATTAAATTCAAGGCAACAGCAATAAACCTGATGGCTGACTTTTCATCAAAAATGATTGAAGCCAAGGTATGTATGTAATAACATTTAAAAATTTTTATAGAAAAACTGTCACTATGGAATTCACTGTCCAGTATAAATACCTTTCAAAATTGAAGATACAGTAAAGATGTTTGCAGACATTAAAATGGAGAACTTACCACTAGCATACACTGTGATAAACAAAAGCAGGCTCTTCAGAGTGAAAGGTAATAACCCTGGGTAGAAGCATATGACTCCATGAAGGAATGAGGAACACAGAAACGGGTTAATATGTGGTTATGTATAAAGGAATATAAATTGTTTAAACAGTAATAATTGAGGGTTTTTTATAACATGTAGTAATGAAAAAAGGTAAAAAGGCAGACAGATTAAATTGAGTTCAACCATTGTAAAGTTCACATTACTTAGAATTGTGACGAAAGTCCTGATTGAGGGTAAACTATAATTTGATACAACATGTTGGAAGCTGATGGATCAACATGGAATAATAAAGAGTGACAGGAAAGGTGAACATGTGAGTGAGTATAAAAGACATCTTTCATTTGTTTTTATTTTTTAAATAGAATAATGAATTGTTTAAGAAAAAACGATAACAGTATACCTTTATGTCTACAACATATGGATATTAAAGACCAAACATACAAAGGGCAGGAGAGGGAAATGGAGGTTCTTACACTATGCATGAAGTGTTAAGATACTATTTGAAGGTGTACTGTGACAAGTTAGAAGTGAGTATTGTAAATCTTAGCGGTAATATTTCAAGAGATACAACTAAGAAGTAAATAATGAAGTGAAAAACACGATAATAATTTTTTTTTTTTTTTGAGACAGAGTCTCACTCTTTTGCCCGAGCTAGAGTGAGTGCCATGGCGTTGGCCTAGCTCACAGCAACCTCAAACTCCTGGGCTCAAGTGATCCTTCTGCCTCAGCCTCCCGAGTAGCTGGGACTACAGGCATGCGCCACCATGCTTGGCTAATTTTTTCTGTATATTTTTAGTTGTCCGATTAATTTCTTTCTATTTTTAGTAGAGACGGGGTCTTGTTCTTGCTCAGGCTGGTTTTGAACTCCTGAGCTCAAACAATCCACCCGCCTCGGCCTCCCAGAGTGCTAGGATTATAGGCGTGAGCCATCGCGCCCGGCCACGATAATAATTTTTAAAAGTTACGTCACAAGAAGGAATGAAACAAGGGGCAGATGGAAAGAGTAGAAAACAACGCGGTAGTTTATATCTGACCCTAGTGATAATAATAACATTAAATATAAATGGTTTTCAACCTCCAGTTAAGCAGTAGAGATTGTCAAATTGGGTAAAAAAAAAAAAAAAATGCAAGGACAAGTAAATATTACCTACAAAAAAACCACTTTAAGTATAAAGACCCGGGCTAATAGTAAAGAAATGGGAGAAGACATACCTTGCAAAGACTAATCACAAGAAAACCAATCATTATATTAATATTGTGAAAAAGAAGACAGCAGAGTAAGTTATTTTAACCAGGTATAAACAGAATTTTATGGTGATAAAGAGGTTAATTAATCAAGAGGATTTAATAATCCTAACTACATACCTAATTAAACAGAATCAAAATACATAAAGCAAAAACTAATAGAACCAAAAGGAGAAATAGACAAACACGTAATTGGAGATTTCAATAATCTTTTCTCAATAATTGATAGAAAAAGTAGATGGAAAATCACTAAGAATATTAAAGATTGGGAGGGTAAATAAAAAGAATATTAAAGACTTAGAACAATATTAATAACCAACATGACCGATTTATTTGGTATTTATAGAAGACTGCAAAATTGCAACAAAAAAAAAAACAACACATTCTTTTCAAGTTCCCAGGGAATATTCCCCAAATAGGTCCAATTCTGAGCCTTTTGAGTTTCAGTAATTTAAAAGGATTAAAATCACACAGTTTGATTATGTGACTTCATATGTGTGAAATAAATGCAGTTGGCTGATGATAACAAAATTAAACCAGAAACCTAAAATAGAAGTAGAGAAAATTAATGAAATAAGGAGATATGTCTTTGAAAAGATGAATTAAATATGATAAATCTTCAGGTAGAGGTGATCAAGAAGAAAAGACACAAATTACTGATCAGCAGTAAAAGACTATAACACTGCCAATTCTAAATAAACTAAAAAGACAATAAGTTAAGTGTAGTGGTGAACCTGTAGTCCCCAGCTCTACAGGACGCTGAGGTGGGAGGATTGCTTGAGGCTAGGAGTGTGCAGCCAGCCTGGGCAGTATCACAAACAAAACAAAATACCTCCCAAATAAATAAAGACAATAAATAATTTGATGAATTATTTGATTGTAATATACTTGACTTTGATGAAATGGGAAGATTTCTTCAATGCAGCAAAATACAAAAGTTCACTAAGGATGTTGAGAAATGTCTTCCAAAGAAATCAGATCCTATTCCCTGGAATGTATAAATATTACCTCATTTAGAAAAAGGTTCTCTGCAGGTGTAATTAAGTTAAAGATCTTGAAGATGAGGGGATGATTCTGTATTATATGGGTATGCCCTAAGTGTCATCACAAGTGTCCTTAGGAAGAGAGAGATTTGACAGAAAAAAAGGCAGTATGACTTCAGAAGCAGAGATTGGAATGAGGTGGCCACAAGCAAAGGAATTCTGTGCCAGCCACGAGAAGGTAGAAGAGTTGAGGAATAGCTTCATCCCTAGATCATCCACTGGGAGCATAGCCTTGCCAACACCTTGATTTTTGTTCCAGTGATAATGATTTTGGATTTTTAGCCTCCAGAGGTGTGAGAGGATAAATTTTGTTCTTTTAAGCCAACTAGTGTGTGCTAATTTGTTACAGTAGCCACAAGAAACTAATAACCCAAATTTGCTTACATCTGATATGTCTATATGATGTTGAACACCTTCCCAAAAGCAAAACTCTTCGGTCAGGTGATTCCACTGATGAATTTGTACCAACCATTTAAGGAAGAAATAATACCAATCCACATAAACTTTTTCTAGAAAATGAAAGAGGGAATGCTATTATAACTAAATATATAGATACTCACATACCCATATATACCGAATATACCTGGATATGTAAACAAGATAAATGCCTAAAAACATATGAATGTATAAAAGAATGTGTCAGAAAGTCCGTAGGAATTTTTATCTAAAATAGCCAAAAAGTGTAAACAAGCTTCAAATGTCTGTCAGTAATATAAATTGTGGTTTATCCAAACAATGTGATATTATATCCAACTGAAAAAGAAATGACCAACTTCTTCATACAGATACATAGTTGAATCTCATGACGTGATTTTGAAAAATTATCCAAACCCCATAAACTACATACTGTATTGTTTTGTTAATATAAAATTCATATCCAAGAAAAGCTAACCAGTGCTTCTATGATTCAGTGTGTTTTTTTTTTTTTTTTCGAAGACAGTCTCACTGTGTTGCCTGGGCTAGAGTGCCCGGTGTGTATTTTTGTAGGTGACTATAAACTTGAGTTTTAAAGGAGGAGCCTTGTAAATTTTGATTTGAGTGGCTGTTTTTGATACATCAGTGTATAAATAAGTAATATAGTGTCAAGCTATACACTAAATATTTGTGTATTGTATATGTATTATACCTCCATAAATATAAGACAAAAATATTTTTTTTTTTTTTTTTTTTTAAGAGACAGAGTTTCACCCTGTTGCCCAGGCTGGAGTACAGTGGTGTGATCATAGCTCACTGTGGCCTCAAAATCCTGGGCTGAAGTAATCCTCCTGCCTCAGCCTTCCAAGTAGCTGGGACTATAGGCAATACCAGTATGCCTGGCTAATTTTTTCCCCATTTTTGGTAGAGATGGGATCTCACTATGTTGGCCAGGCTGGTCTCAAACTCCTGGCCTCAGGTGACCCTCCCACCCCAGCCTCCCAAAGTACTGGGATTACAGATGTGAACCATCATGCCCAGCCACCCCCAGGAAACATTTCATGGGCTCTCATGAGGCTATGTGTGCTCTTCCTTCAGCTGGTTATTATCAAAAGGAGAAACATTCCCTGACTTAAGCCAGTGGGAACAGTGAATGAAAATCATTCCTACACTTTGTGGATGTGAAGTGGGGAAATTGTTGCTGAGGACCTACCTACCCAGTAAATATTGTCCATGTCTAGGTTGTACAGCTCTTCCTTATATTCACTTGGGTTTTATTTCTTCAAAGTTCAGCTGAAATGTTAATGAATTTTTTTTCTCGGGGCACCACATCTGATTGATGCTCACCTCTGATTTGAGTTTTTTTTTTTTTTTTTTTTTTTTGAGACAGAGTCTCACTGTGTTGCCCTGGCTAGAGTGAGTGCCGTGGCGTTAGCCTAGCTCACAGCAACCTCAAACTCCTGGGCTCAAGCAATCCTACTGCCTCAGCCTCCCGAGTAGCTGGGACTACAGGCATGCACCACCATGCCCGGCTAATTTTTTCTATATATTTTTAGTTGTCTGATTAATTTCTTTCTATTTTTAGTAGAGACGGGGTCTCGCTCTTGCTCAGGCTGGTCTCGAACTCCTGAGCTCAAACAATCCGCCCGCCTCGGCCTCCCAGAGTGCTAGGATTACAGGCGTGAGCCACCTGATTTGAGTTTTTAAAAGAACAACCTTTGGTTGTCTTACAAATAATCCTCAGGGGATCTAAGCAATATATTTTCAGTTCCATGTACATGCATCTTTCTCACAAAGCCATACTTTAATTCTGCAGTGCTTAGATTAATTTTTTTTATTCTCTAATTTAAAGACTAATTATTTTTGGTCTTTTTTTTGGCAAATGAACAGATTTCAGAATAATATAAATTAAATGTCTCAGAGACCTGGCAAAGCATAATTTAATTTAATTTTTTGTTTTGGTCTGAGAGTCTCACTCTGTTGCCTGGGTAGAGTGCAGTAGCATCATCATAGCTCACAGCAACCTCAAACTCCTGGGCTCATGTCATCCTCCTGCCTCAGCTTCCCAAGTAGCCAGGACTACAGGTGTGAGCCATGACAACTGGCTTATTTTTCTGTTTTTAGTAGAGTAGGGTCTTGCTCTTACTCAGGCTGGTCTCGAACTCTTGAGCGCAAGCCATCCTCCTGCCTCAGCCTTCCAGAGTGTTAGGATTACAGGTGTAAGCGACCATGCTTGGCCCGTAATTTAATTTTTAGCTGCACTGTGTAGCACAAATGCATGGAGAGATTTAATCATCCAAATCAAGAAAATTTATTGATATAAGGAAATCATGGATTGTTGCAATTTTTTTATATGTAAGGAGATATATTTATTGAGCACCTACCACAGACATTGTTTCGTCACATAGGAGGCAGCAGAAAAAAAGGAAAAAAGGGAAAGAAAAGGCTGTAGCAGTTTTCTTTTCATTGTTATATTGTAATCTTTCAAAATACGGTTTTGAAGCCGGGCATGGTGGCGTGTACTCGTTGTCCCAGATACAAGAGGCTGAGGCAGGAGGATCACTTGAGCCTGGGAGTTTGAGGTTGTAGTGAGCTATAATCGTGCCAGCCTGGGCGTCACAGTGAGACCCTATCTCAATTTTTAAAAAAGTAGTTTTGAGAGAGGGAAATATCTTAGAATGTATATTTTGAATTACAGCTGCAGGATAATATCATCCATACCACAAATTCAGTCCTCTGTGGATCAGCTAATGGAGGAGGGTCTACAAATCAAGAAGTATGAATCAATTGATAAATGGTAGTTTTTACATGGCACAACTCAGTTTTCTTGTCATAGTCCTATACTCAAATGAATCATAGCTAGAAGGGACTAACATAGAAAAGGTGATTTAGAGTTTAGGGAATGATTTGGAGATTTTTTAAATTGAGAGATGTTTTAAAAACGAAATAATATGGACTTGTTGCAATTAGAATCAAGAACCTGTCAGAGTGTGTTATATATATAGTACATCTTCAAATCTTGAAAGAAGTTCTATCTTCAATTGTACTAAATATTTGTATTATGTTTGTAATGTTACAGCTAATTCATGGTATGCATTAAAATACTGTGCCTTTGTAAATTGCAAAAGGTATTTTTAAATATCAAAATAATAGAAATAACATATTCTTATAGTTCATGACTCCTTAACTGATAGTAAGAAATTTTGAAATAAGCTATCCTTTCTGTTTGACATTTAGATTCCTTTAGTGTTTTACTCCTTTTATTTGAGGACTTAACCTCAGTGGTTTGCTTAAAAAGCCCCTGAGCTTAAAAATAGATCCTGCTAACCTCCATATTCATCCTTTACAAATTAGCAAATAATTTTTGATGTTGTTTCTTTAGAGTAAAGGTGCTAGTGCTGGAAGAGAATGGACTGAACAGGAGACCCTTCTACTCCTGGAGGTAAGCAGATCAGTGGTAGAGTCCCGTTATTCACAGAGGAGATGTGTGCTAAGATTCTGCGATTAGCATTTTAAATATACCTGTGCTGTTCTATTAAAAAAAGTGTCTAGTTGAGCTTAAAACTCAAAAAATTGCAGAAGTGGTTTTCCTTTAGACAACATTGTGCTTTGATAGTTGACATTTAAGTCCTTTTTGGTGCCTCTCATTTTATAGTATGGAATATTAAAAACACATGTACTCAGTCATTTAGAGTTAATAAAATTAATAATAATTGCAATTGCATCAAATATACGTTTAAGTGAATCTGGCTTATTTTCTTGAGTGTTTAACAGTGAAGAATAAAATGACTACTAAGACAGTTTAGTGTTACTGCCTGGATTGTGCTAAGTTGCCACCACTGCTTCTGCACCATCACTACACTTGTCAACATAATGTAAAAAGCAATAACATCTCAGAATTATGAAAATTGTTTGACATCACAGTCCTCCTAAGAGTCTGGTGCCCCATGGGTCCCCAGAACACACTTAGATATGGTGGGCCTGGTTACAGTTTGGTTTCTGTACTGCTTTGATTTGGTTTCTCATTTTGTTTCTGCAGTTGTGGTTACTTGAGAAGTTTTAGTGGTGCATGAAATTATTTCCTTTTCTTTTTTATGCTCCTCTTTCTTCTCTCTTTTCTATTTTCTTCCTTCCTCTTTTGCTCTCATGATCAAAATTCAAAAAAGTTTCTTCTTTTGGTTTTTTTGCAGTTATTTTGATTTATTCTCATTTCCCCATTCAATATCAGTGATACGCAGAGAGCTACTTTTCTGGCCCAGTTTTTATATCAGGACTGTTTTGTTTAGCCATATGTGTTATGTTTTAATGTTAATTAAAAGGAATGTGTACTCAGTATTTGTGAAAGAATATAGCATACTTTTCTAATGATATTTTGGAATCTTTGAGCTCTGGGGAGAAATTTATTTGCACAATAGTGGCTGGAACAACAACCATTCTTTGTGCACATTGATGCTCAAAATTTTCTCTTTTTATATTTAACATTAGTGGATAGTATATACAGAATGAACTAAGAATGACTAAGCTACTGTTTACCCTAAACACATCTAAGAAAACCATAATATCATTACACAATAGTGCATTTTCTCTCCTGCAGGTGGAATTTGTGCAGTAGTTGGTTTTTCTTTTAAACATGTAATTCAGTCAACAAGTATTGTCTGAAGTTACCACACAAAGAGAAATTAAAGGCTTCCCACCAGCATTGTTTATTACTAACATCTTTCACTTATGTTTTATTTAGAAATAATTAATAGCCACTCTGCTCCATAGTGATAAAAGGGATATTTTCAAAAAAGCACCCACAATTTTTTTAAAGTACACTACTAATTGTGGCATTCTTTCTGGTCATTTATAATTGTCCTTGGGCTTGAAGTTGACAAGAGTTTAATCTGTGAGCTTATTGGTTTCTCCCTTGTTAACTTTAGTCTTTATCATGTATGCTTTGCTTTCTCATGTTTTGTGTTTATTTTTCTTTGGATAATTAATATACATAAAATGTTGTACCTGCAAATAAAATCCGTAAGAGTTATTAAAATTTGTATATCACTAGAGGAGTTTCTCACATTTTGTATGCTGGCTAAATTATAGAAATAGTAAGCAGCATCAAAGATTTTCTTATAGTATGCGTACACTTGACATACCTTTACATTTGAGAGCCATAATAAAGTCAAACTCCTGTTTCCTTTCCTGGTTTAGTCCAGTTTCCTGTCAGCAAGTTTTATTGGTTACATGTTTCAGGCACTGTGATAGACACTGCAGATTGAGATGGCTAGGACACAGTTTCTACCACTAAGGAGTTCATAGTCGAGTGAGTGACATAGATAAAACACAAAAGTGAATTGCAGTGTTCCCAACTTCATGGTTGGAGATATGCCCAGAGCATGAGACCTATACAGAGGAGTTGCTATACAAGCAAGCTGGGTGGATAAGAGACAACAGACAGCTTCCTGGGCATGGTATGGCTGTCCTGATTCTAATACATGATATTTCCAGTACAGAGCAAACTACATAGGCACAACACATAACGATAGTGTTGTAGGGTTTGGATATTCTTGGAACAGAAAGAGTAAGGAGTGGGGTGGAAGAAGTAGGTAGAGTCCTGATCATGTTTCGCCTTGATTGCATAAGATAATGATGCATAATGAAATAGTTTTAGGCAGGAGAGAGACAGTGTTTTGTGTGAAACATACTTCACTCTAGCAACACGGAGAAGGGTGAATTTAAGGATAGAAAGGCAGTTTCTTTTTTTTTTTTTTTTTTTAAGAGACAGAGTTTCACCCTGTTGCCCAGGCTGGAGTACAGTGGTGTGATCATAGCTCACTGTGGCCTCAAAATCCTGGGCTGAAGTAATCCTCCTGCCTCAGCCTTCCAAGTAGCTGGGACTATAGGCAATACCAGTATGCCTGGCTAATTTTTTCCCCATTTTTGGTAGAGATGGGATCTCACTATGTTGGCCAGGCTGGTCTCAAACTCCTGGCCTCAGGTGACCCTCCCACCCCAGCCTCCCAAAGTACTGGGATTACAGATGTGAACCATCATGCCCAGCCACCCCCAGGAAACATTTCATGGGCTCTCATGAGGCTATGTGTGCTCTTCCTTCAGCTGGTTATTATCAAAAGGAGAAACATTCCCTGACTTAAGCCAGTGGGAACAGTGAATGAAAATCATTCCTACACTTTGTGGATGTGAAGTGGGGAAATTGTTGCTGAGGACCTACCTACCCAGTAAATATTGTCCATGTCTAGGTTGTACAGCTCTTCCTTATATTCACTTGGGTTTTATTTCTTCAAAGTTCAGCTGAAATGTTAATGAATTTTTTTTCTCGGGGCACCACATCTGATTGATGCTCACCTCTGATTTGAGTTTTTTTTTTTTTTTTTTTTTTTGAGACAGAGTCTCGCTCTGTTGCCCGGGCTAGAGTGCCGTGGCGTTAGCCTAGCTCACAGCAACCTCAAACTCCTGGGCTCAAGTGATCCTCCTGCCTCAGCCTCCCGAGTAGCTGGGACTACAGGCATGCGCCACCATGCCTGGCTAATTTTTTCTATATATTTTTAGTTGTCCAATTAATTTCTTTCTAATTTTAGTAGAGACGGGGTCTCGCTTTTGCTCAGGCTGGTTTCGAACTCCTGAGCTCAAACAATCCGCCCGCCTCGGCCTCCCAGAGAGCTAGGATTACAGGTGTGAGCCACCGCGCCCGGCCAGAAAGGCAGTTTCTAAGAATACAGATTAATCAATGAAGACCTGAACCTGGGTCATGGCAGGAGGAATGTAGGTGTTTTGTAGTATTAATAATACAGCACTAAACTATTTTCTCTATATATCACCTCGCTTCCCCAGCCTCCTCCTTCCTGACCCGTCTGTCACTTTGTTGTTCTCTTTTGAAAACATCTAATTTGCCCCTCCTATGTAATGTTATGCATCAGTGCCGAAGTGCAGCAGACATTTACTGTTTCTCAGCCTTGTGCTTTTCTGGATGCTAACTCTTGCTTGGATTTTACATCTCAAAGGGTTCTCCAACTCCAGCTTTATTCTGTAAAAGACTTTCCAAACTTTATTTTTCCCTTACTAAAAGAAAATGAATAAAAAAACATTTATATAACAAGTTCATTGGAAAAAGTTATGATGGAGCATGCCAAAAAAATTCCTACCTATAATCAGAAACGTAAGATTACCCCAGTAGATAGATACATTTCTCGTTCTGTGGACCCCAGTGAGATAGATTTTTCTTTTTTTCTTACTGTCTCGGTCTTATTAAAAATAATTCCTTTTAGAACTACCTGGGGTCACTGAATATCCAGAGGAAACCTAGAATTAGCCTTGTTTTTCAAGGTATTTAATGAGTCAGACCATTCGCTGGCTTGGGTTTTGAGAAGCCCTCCGCCACCACTCCAGCAATGATGAAAACCTGGAGCAGCAGTTGGAGACCAAGGTTAAGAATTCACAGAGGAAAGTAAATATGGAGAGAACTATTATTATTATAGAAAGCTGATATCATAGTGTGTATCAGCAAATTAGGCTCTGGAGCAAGGTGTTTTAATTGTAGCACTATTGACATTTAGGCCAGACTTTTTTTTTTTTTTTGGTTGGGGGCTCTTGTGTGCATTGTAGCATGTTTTGACAGTATCCATGGCCTCTACTCAGTAGATGACAGTAGCACCTTCCCAGTTATGCAGCCAAAAGTGTCTCCAAACATTGCCACATGTCCTCAGTGGCTCAGTATTGCCCCTGATTGAGAACTGTGGCCCTAGAGAAAATGAGGCCTCTTTCTAGAGAGAGGTTGAGAGCAGCAACTTCAGTAAGCCTCTGAATAGATTCTTTTTACCCCATTAATTCTTTGACTTTCTTAGCACCATTTATTTCTGGTTTTCTTCCTACTGTTCTATCCCTCTTTCCCTTGGAGACTCCTTTGACTCTTTTTATTGGAGTTTTCCAGTGTCTACTCAAAAAATCTGCTTAGAATTTCATTGGGATTGCATTGAATCTGTAGCTCAGCTTGGAAAGAATTGACATTTTAACAATATTGAGAAATGAATAAAAGTGATACCTCTTCATTTATTCTATTTAGATCTTTGAGTTCTCTCACGTTTCATGTTTTCCAGCCTATCACTCCTGTATATATATTTTGTTATATTTACTCGTATTTTATTTTTTATGCTATTTAAATACTTTTTTCCAGTTTAAAACTGTTCATTGCTATTATACATAGAAAAATAATTGATTTTTCTATTGCCTTTCTGTCCTGTGACTTTGCTCAACTATTTTAGTACCTTTTTTGTAGCTTCCTTAGAATTTTCTATATAATCATGTCTGTATTAGTAAAAAAGTTTTAATTCTTCCTTTATGATATGTATACCTTTTATTATTTTTCTTGATTGCTCAAGAATTTAATATAAGGAAAACAGTCTACCTATTTTCTTATGTACAGTGTTGCCATTTGCATTATTTTAAAAAATAATCAGCTATCTAAAGAACTTCTGATGTCATTACATATGACTTCCTTGTCACCTGACATTAAACCTCCTGTTTTTTCTGTTTAAGGCCCTGGAGATGTACAAGGATGATTGGAACAAAGTGTCAGAACATGTTGGAAGTCGTACTCAGGATGAATGCATCCTCCATTTCTTGAGGCTTCCCATTGAGGACCCGTACCTTGAGAATTCAGATGCTTCCCTTGGGCCTCTGGCCTACCAGCCTGTTCCCTTTAGTCAGTCGGGAAACCCGGTCATGAGTACTGTTGCTTTTTTGGCATCTGTGGTGGACCCTCGTGTGGCATCTGCTGCAGCAAAAGCAGCTTTGGGTATGGACTTCTCTATGCCATCTCTTCAATACAAAAACTCAATATATCTTAAATTTAAGTATTATCAGCTGTTACATTCATTTCTCCTACATAAATGACAAAAAATCAGACAACACCCCTTAAAGATACCATGTTCTTTATAAAAGTATATATAATATTTTAAAGTGAAGCACTTAAAATATAGTAATTTTAAAATAAATAGCTTTAAGAATTGGAGGGTTCGCAGAAGAGGGATTTTTTTTTGGATATTTTGTGATTGGGAATTTGAGGTAGCTGGCAAAGGAAGTCATTTAAATATTCTTGGATTATGTGAATTAAAACTAGATCTTTCTCACACCATAGAACCTCTTTCTTGGCTTTATGGTTTTTTAATCCCTGATGGTTTTTGATTTGTTAGTCTATTTGAATTTATATTTTGCTGAGTGATAAAATTTGGATAGCAATTTTGATAGTTACTGATAGAAATTTAAAGATCTCTTTTATTTATTATAGCAAGACATTGTGGCATGTAGGACGAAAACCTAGAGTCTAGAATTTCACTGCTACTTATCTTTATCTCATTTGGTCCTCTCATTTTGTTGGTATAGAGGGATTGAATACCTGAAGAGATTGCTACACCTAAGGCAATAATAATATTGTGTTGGATTTCCTAATGGTCTTACACTGAAGCAAGTATTTGTGCAAAATGAGGTTACTATTCCATATTTATTGTTGAACCAGAGGAGTTTTCTCGGGTCCGGGAGGAGGTACCACTGGAATTGGTTGAAGCTCATGTCAAGAAAGTACAAGAAGCAGCACGAGCCTCTGGGAAAGTGGATCCCACTTATGGCCTGGAGAGCAGCTGTATTGCAGGCACAGGGCCCGATGAGCCAGAAAAGCTTGGTGAGTCACTGCTGTACCCAAGGACAAGGTTAATAGATATTCGGATTCCCTGTCAGCTAACTAAAATAATTGGGTTTATTTGTAATGATCAATATGAACTTTTTTCTTCAGATTAGTATAAGTTTTTTTTCCCTCTTGTCTCTTCCTTTAAGGTTTGTAGATCTAGGTTTTGAGCATATAAGATATAAGAATACGGAAAGATACCTGGAAGTGCTAATGGAAAAATGAAAGAGTACCAAAAGGACTTCAGTGGTTATTTTAATTTATATTTTGCTGAGTGTGTTTAAATGCATTGTTCTTTTTTTAACTGAGGAAAAATTCCTATAACATAAAATTCCCCGTTTCAACCGCTTTAAAGTATATAATCTAGTAACTTCTAGTATGTACACAATGTTGTGCACCCAGAACATTTTCATCACTCAAAAAGGAAATCTCATATCCCTGAAGTATTCACTTCTCATTACTTTTTCTCCTCAGCCTTGGTAACCACTAGTCTGCTTTCTGTCTCTATGGATTTGCCTGTTTTTGACTTTTAATATAAGCAGAATCATACAATATATGGCCTTTTATGTCTGACTTTTTTCACTTAGCATAATGTTGTCAGGGCCCATCCATTTTTTTTTTTTTGAGACAGAGTCACTGTGGTGCCGTGGCGTCAGCCTAGCTCACAGCAACCTCAAACTCCTGGGCTCAAGCGATTCTTCTGCCTCAGCCTCCCGAGTAGCTGGGACTACAGGCATGCACCACCATGCCCGGCTAGTTTTTTCTATATATTTTTAGTTGTGCGATTAATTTCTTTCTATTTTAGTAGAGACGGGGTCTCGCTCTTGCTCAAGCTGGTTTCGAACTCCAGAGCTCAAACAATCCACCCGCCTCGGCCTCCCAGAGAGCTAGGATTACAGGCGTGAGCCACTGCGCCCGGCCAGCCCATCCATTTTGTAGCATAAATTAGTACCTCATTCTTTTCTGTGCTGAATAATATCTCTTTGGGTAGATTAAACAAATTTTATTTTTCTCTTTGTTCGTGGACGTTTATATTGTTTCCACTTTTACACTATTTTGAATGTGTTTTATGTTCTACCAGTTATGTATGAAGTTTTCAGTTTCTTCACATCCTTGCCAACACTCGTTTTCCTTTTTTTCTTTAACAGCCATCCTAGTGGTTTGAAGTAATAACTCTTTGTGATTTTTATTTGAATACCTGAAATACCTACATTTATGACTAATGATCTTAACCATCCTTTAATGTATTTATTGGCCGTTTGTGTATCTTCCTTGGAAAATGACTATTCAGATCCTTGCCCATTTTTTTAAATAGACGTGATTTTTAGAGCAGTTTTATGTTCATAGCAAAATTAAGTAGAATATATAGAGTTCCCATATACCACTTGAGCTGAGCTGACACGTGCGGTCTCCTTCATTATCAACATCCCATGCTGGAGTGGTGCATTTGTTACAGCCAGTGAACCTATGTTGGCACATCTACATCGTCTGCAGTCCAGCATCTTACTTTATTCTATAATTGATGCTTACATGTTGAACCACCCTTGCGTTTTTGGGATAAATCCTACTTGATCAATGGAAATAATCTATTTCACATGATGTTGGATTTGATTTGCTAGTATTTTGTTGAGGATTTTTGCATCTATATTCATAACAGATACTGTTTGTAGTTTTCTTTTCTTGTGATAGACTTCCTGTGAAAATACTGATCTCAAAGAATAAGTTAGGAGTTCTATTTTTGTTTTGTTTTTTTTTGAGACAGAGTCTGGCTCTGTTGCCCTGGCTAGAGTGAGTGCCGTGGCGTCAGCCTAACTCACAGCAACCTCAAACTCCTGGGCTCAAGCGATTCTCCTGCCTCAGCCTCCCAAGTAGCTGGAACTACAGGCATGTGCTACCATGCCCGGCTAATTTTTTCTATACATTTTTAGTTGTCCAGATAATTTCTTTCTATTTTTTTTAGTAGAGACGGGGTCTCCCTCTTGCTCAGGCTGGTCGCGAACTCCTGAGCTCAAGCAATCCTCCTGCCTCAGCCTCCCAAAATGCTAGGATTACAGGTGTGAGCCACCGTGCCTGGCTGACATTTTTGCTGTTAAAGACTTAATTATCTATTTTTGTTTAATCTTGAAGAGGAGTGAAATTAATAAAGCAGTTTTCTACACAGTGTCAGCTTGTCAAATGGAAGTGTTCCTATATAAAAGGCTTGTTTTCACACTAAGCTAAAAACATTTTATATGAAATTATCAATAGAATATTCCCAAAATTTCTTAATTTTTTGAGTTTACATAGGACTTACCCCTGTTGTTCTCTCCAGTTTCTTTAAAGTGTCAATCTAGGCCAGGCTCAGTGGCTCATGCCTGTAATCTAGCACTTTGGGAGTCTGAGGCAGAAAGATCACTTGAGGCAAGGAGGCTGCAATGAGCTATGATCATGCCACTCTGTACTCCAGCGTGGGGGACAGAGCAACACCCCATCTCTAAAAAAAATATTTAAAATTAAAAGAAAAACTAAGAAAATAAACAGCAATTTGAGAGTATTTACAGTAATTCTTAGTTTGAAATTCACCTTTTCCCTTTTTCTTAGATCGATGATGAAATTAATAGGCCAGGTCACATCTCTGTTGCTCTTTGTTGAGTCTGTACCCCAAGACAGTGCCCAGCTTAGGTAGGAAAAACCTTAGGCTAATGAATGCCTGGGTTTTAGTTTCTTCTACTTTTTTTGTTATTGGTTTAATCTCAGGGACTTTTGTTTCCCTGTGGTCATCGAATTGAAAAGGGTTGGCAAAGCCTTCTCACTGGATTCAGTGAGGTTTGTGTACTTTGCGAAATGAGGGACATGTTGTATACTTTAAGAAATTTTTTTAAAGTTTTGGTAGTTGATACCATAGTGTGTTAGTGGTTAAGGAACAAGTTGCAAATTTAGCCATTTTTAATTTAGTGGGATTTGAAACAAAGAAGACAAAAATATCTGGCAGCCTCAGTCCTTGTGGGGCTAGATGCTCATAATTCATTAGTGAACATGTGGTTTCTGCAGAATGCAAAGATTAGGATTGACTACTGCAGAAAGAATTGGAGAATATAAGGGCTGGTCTTAGAGTGCCATGAACAATACAATTCATTTACAGTATCTGGAAGTAGCCTATTATTTAATCTCATTCGAGTGAATTGTATGGTCACTAGCAAAAAAGTTTGGGTCTTTTTATAATTTAAAAAGTGGTAAGGAAAATACAACTATAACGGTAATATTTCTGAATGAGTTGTGGACAGGTTTCTATAACTAATGCTGGCCTGTTACAGTTAGTATAATTCATATTGGTCTGTGACTTATGGAGTAAATTAGGAAACAGCAAATGTTTCTCCGTTGGGAATTGGCTCAGTAAAATTGTTTTAACAGGAGGAAGTCAACAGTGTATTATTTACATTTCATATAACAAAATTGTGCTTTATTATATACCACACTGATTTGAAACAGAATGAGGTAGGATTTTACTTAGCACAATAATTGTGGACTTGGGTAGTGGGTTCAGGTATTCATGGTACTGTTTATTGTGATAATTTACTGTGTTACATGTGTTACTTTATGTGTATTAACTATGGTAAAATTAGGATACAGGAAAAAATATGCTTCCTAATGAAATACAAGACTTTGGATTCTTGTCATTAACCTATCTAACCTTTCTTTGTAAATTTGGATTAGTGCGTTAATATGTGAAGTATTTGGTGAAATGAAAGTAAAGCTGGGTGAACACTCAATTAAACACCTCTTATGTTTATATTTTAACAGATTTCCCTTGGGAATTATTTAGGAAATTAGTGTTAGGATATGAGAAGGGGCTTTTTCAGTCTGTTCTCTAACTATGGTCATTCACCAAAAATTATTTATTTCTTTAAATTTGTATTTTTTTTTATTTTCTTTGATCAGAGAGTGCTCTAGGCATACAAAAAATAATATATTTGAGACCTTTTATATTTAACTAAAAATATTAGGTCATTAAATATGAAATGTCCAATTTTGAATCTAAAGTGTAGTTTATTATATCTTAAACAAGAAGCAGTACAATTAAACTAAACTATTGACACAGTTTTGCCATCTTAACATTAGCTTGTTAATGCTAACACTGAAGAAGCCTGGAGAGTGAGTGGCAATGAAATCACAAAAGGCATTTTCCACAGCTTGTTGAGAATTGAACATTTTTCCTTGCAAGAAGTGGTCCAAACCCTGGAAGAAGTGGTAGTCAGTTGGTTCAAGGTCTGGTGAATACAGTGGATGACAGAGTGTTTCCAAGTCCAGCTTCTGTAGTTTGAGCAGTCTTGTTTATGTGACATGTGGTCGAGCGTTGTCTTGCAAGAGGATCAGCCTGTCTCTATTGACCAGTCTCAGCTGCATCATCTCAGTGGTCAAAGACTGCTCTGATCAAAGACTGCCCACCCTCATCATTTCATCCAGTTGCAGTAGACATCTGCTGTAATTGACCTGGTTTCATGAAGCTGTAGTGGATAATACCAGTGTTGGATCACCAAACAGATAACCTGTAGCTTTTTTTGATGAATATTTGGTTTTACACTGTGTTTCAGCACTTCGACTTTATCCAGCCATTGCGCTAAACACTTCAGATTGTCAAAAAGAATCCATTTTTCATACATTGTCACACATAACATACATTGTCAAACGTAACAATACAGTGTAGAAATGATTCACCTTTATGTGGTGACAACAAAGAATGGTTAGTTTTGAGACAGTTTCTCTTCTAACACTTGTTTAATTTATGCAGAACCCATGTATCCAGCTTCTTTACCTTGCCGATTTGTTTCAAAGGGTCCAATATTGTTGGGATAGTAATGTCATACTTTGCTGCTAATTCATGCATTGGTTGAGATGGATTCACTTCCACAATAGCTTTCAGCTCATCATTATCCGCCTTGGTCTCAGGTCACCCACATGGCTCATTTTCAAGATTAAAGTCACCACAGTGGCACTCCCTCAAATCATGGACATACTGT